GCGTCCCACCGTTGCCCTCCCGCTACTTGGATCCAAGTGGCTGCCGACCAAAAAGTGCCCAACCCGTGTCCAGCACAGTCCCGTGCCCAAAGAGTGCCCCCGCGTCAAGTTCCCTTCCTCCGCGGCCGCCCTCTCTTCCCTCCTCTTCCCCTCTTGTACGCGGGCCAACTCGCGACTCTGTAGCCCGGTGTTACTACTCGCGCGAGCGGATTGCATCTGCCGCGCCGCGACGTAAAAGTGCCCAGCGCAGCCTGAGCTCTTTGCCTCGGGGAGCGCGGTGCTCCTCGATGATGCGCGCCCGGGTCCACACAACGCTCTCGAGCTCCCGCCTTGAGTCGGACATGTCCTTCTGTGCAGGCGCCGTTATATGTTGCGCAAGCTGCATAAGGTGCGTCCACGTGGCACGATTCACAGGACAACAACAAAAGGACGAAGAGCGAAGGCCCAGGCTTGAGGAGGACATGGAGGCGGGAACGAAGGGCATGAAACAGGCGCGTGAGAGGCCGAACCGTCAGCGCGGCAGCAGCAGAGGGAAGGTGGCAGAGGGCAGAGGACGACGACGAAACTGACGGGAGGAGACCGAAGAGTGCTGCTTTCGTCGGTAGTACGTTGAAGATGCAACGCTGCCTGCGCCATGACGCCGCGGCCCTCGGCAAAATGATTAGCCTTGCTATTGTCAGTGCAAGAGACGAACGTTGCCTGGCTCGCCCGCCAGCTTCCATGCTTCCGTCCTGCGCTGCGCAGTGCGGGAGCTAAGCAGTCGAAGGCGCGCCGGCAGGTCTGCGGGCGGCTTGCGACAGCGCCCCGCGGGTCCCCCCCAGCAGCCCATGAAAGTGACGACAGTTTCGCATATCGTACCCCACAGGGATGGCGAGCTCTAGTTCGAAACCACTCAGCTGGACCCCAGCAGCCCTTGAAAATGGCCACCGTTTCGCAGATCGCACCCCCCCCAGGGCTCACTCCGCTGGCCCCCCCAGCAGCCCTCGAAAGTGGGGGCAGTTTCGCAGTTCGCAGCTCCCCAGGGACGGCGAGGTTCAATTTGAATCCTCGTAGGACGTCATTCTGGTGGACCCCCCAGCAGCCTTCGAACGTGGCGACTGTTTCGCGGATCGCGGCCCCCCAGGGATGGCGAGGTCGAATTTGAATCCGCGTAGGACGTCACTCCGCTGGAGCCCCCCAGCAGCCCTCGAAAGAGGCGACAGTTTCGCAAATCGCAGCCCCGCAGGGATGGCGAGGTTTAGTCCGAGTTTGCCTGGGACCTCATTTCGCTGGCCCCCCAGCAGCCCTCGAAAGTGGCGACTGTTTCGCGAAACGCAGCCCCACAGGAATGGCGAGGTCTGATTTGTGTCTGCGTGGTACCTCACTCCGCTGGACCCCAAGCAGCCCCCGAACGTGGCTGCAATTTCGCAGATCGCACCCCCACAGGGATGGCGAAGTCTAGTACGAATCTGCGTGGGGCCCCACTCCGATGGCCCCCCCCAGCAGCCCTCGAAAGTGGCGACAATTTCTCATACCCCAGCCGCATATGGACGGCGAGGTCCAATCAGAGTGTGTGTCGGACGTCACACCGCTAGACCCCCCAGCAGCCTTTGAAAGTGGCGACAGTTTCGCAAATCTCAGCCCCCCAGGGATGGCGAGGTCTAATACGAGTCTGCTTGGGACGTCGCTCCGCTGGACCCCCTCCCCATCAGCCCTTGAAAGTGGCGACAGTTTCGGATATCGCGGCCCCCCGGATGCCGGGGTTTAATTTGAGTCGTAGGACGTCACTCCGCTGGCCCCAGCAGCCCCCGAACGTGGCGACAGTTTCGCAGATCGCAGCCCCCCGAAGATGGCGAGGTCAGAAATGAATCTGCGTGGGACGTCGCTCCGCTGGACCCCCAGCTGCCTGCGAAAATGGTGACACTTTCGCGGATCACATCCTCTCAAGGATGGCGAAATGTAATCTGAGTCCGCGTAGGACGTCACTCCGCTGGACCCCCCATGAGCCCCCGACAGTGGTGACAGTTTCGCAGATCACAGCGCCCCCGGAGATGGCGAGGTCGAATTTGAGTTTGCGTGAGACGTCACTCCGCTGGCCCCCCCAGCAGCCCTCGAAAGTGGCGACAGTTTCGAAGATGGCAGCCCCGCAGGGATGGCGAAGTTTAATTTGAATCCGCGTGGAACACCACTCCGTTGAACCCCCGAGCAGCCCTTGAAAGTGGCGACAGTTTCGCAAATCGCAGCCCCCCACGGATGACGAGGTCTAATCTGAATCTGCGTGGATTCCACTCCGCTGGCCCCCCCAGCAGCCCTCGAAAGTGGCGACAATCTCGCAAATCGCGGCCCCCCACGGATGGCGAGGTCTAGTTTGAATCTGCGTGGGTTCCACCCCGCTGGCCCCCCCAGCAGCCCCCGAACGTGGCGACAGTTTCGCAGATTGCACCCCCCCAGGGATGGCGAGATTTAATACGAGTCCGCAGCGGCTAGCCGCTACGTTGGTCCCCCCAGCAGCCCTTGAAAGTGGTGACAGTTTCGCAGACCGTAGACCCCCAGGGATGGTGAGGCCTAATCTGGGTTTGCGGTAGGTGCTCACTATGCTGGTCTCCCCAGCAGCCCTCGAAAGTGGCGGTAGTTTCGCGGATCGCAGCCCCACAGGGATGGCCGGTCTAATCTGAGTCCGCGGCGGGTACCCATTATGCTGGTCCCCCCCAGCAGCCTTCGAAAGTGGCAACCGATTCGCAGACCGCAGCCACCCAGGGAAAGAGGAGAAGGGAGGCGGGGGGGAGGAGGAAGGAGGAGGAGGAAGAGGAGGAGGATGGAGACCGCAGTGCTCTAGTCAAAACGAGAACCCAACGCAGGAGGCTTGGGAAAAGCATGTTCTTAAGATCCGCCTCTGGGAGGACTTGCCCGACCCAACGCTCGCCTCTCTCGGCAAGCGGCGCCGGCGCCTCTTGGCCACTGGGGCCTCGCAACAGGGTGTTGCTAGAAGTGCTCCTGGCCCGAGGTGCCCCCAGGGTTCTCGGGGTGGCCCAGACGGCCTCCGGAGCACCCCTCACGAGGCCCAGAGGGCCCCAGGGGCCCAGACGTGCAGCGAGAAGCTGGGGGCACCTTGGGCCAGGGGCACCTCTAGCAGCACCCGGCGCAAGGGGCAGCCCGGCCCGCAGGCGGCCGCTCGCTCCTGGCGCGCCACGTGTTGCCGTGCCGGCGGGGCGCTGGAGCACCCAGCTTGCGGTTCTGGGCCCCCTGCTATGATGTTCCAACCCCAAAGAAGAATAAGAAAAGGAATACTAATAATAATAATAATAATAACAACAATCATACTAATCATAACAATAAGAAGACCTTTTTCTTCACTGCAGGCCTCCTATTCTGATGTTGCTGCCTACTTTATTCTTGACCACCAGAAACCATTTCGAGCACCAGGGAAGTACCGAAACTGGAGGATTGTCACGCGTCGGGCCCTGGGAGGCGATACTTGTTCGACACTGCTTCGATACTTTTCTGGGCGCTCGAACGTATTTCTGGGATGTGGTCCTTAAGGACGATATGAACAACATAAGCCTACTACAAGACTCGTCGAACATACATTGGCGGTTTTGGTTTTCGGTGCTGGCATGGTCGGCGCTAGTGCAGTGCTGGCGCGAGGTATAGTCGGCCCAGGAGAGCAGGGGTGTCCGAAGTGCCCGGCAGTACCCCTCACGGCATTGAAGAGCGCGATTTCTGACAAGTGCCCGAGCTATTGAGCGCTTCGATATTGGACAGCGTTTCAATGTATTATTTTCGACGAGGCTTGTAGATGGGGTCGGGGTAGACGGGGTCGGAGGATAGCGCCGCATCGCCGATGCGGCTCGATGTGGAGCCCGATGTCCTTCACGTCGACGTCGCCGATGCATCGCCCACGTCGATGATGCAGCGCCAGTGCATCGCCGATGCATCGCCGATGCATCGGCGATGTATCGCCGATGCGGCGCGATCCTCCGACTCCATCTGCTCCGACCCCATCATGGGGGCCTCTATCGATACGGCCGACATGGGTATGGAAAGAATTTAGGGTCCATTTTGAACCGATCGGTCCGATTCGATGTGGATGTTGTCCGGCTCGAGCCGATCCGATCGCGATATTCCGACGATATGGTGCTGGCCGATTTTTGCATGGTGGTGTTGTGTATCTTGGCGCAGCCGATCCGATTCGACTTCGATTCCGTTACATACAACCCGACATGATGCACATTTCGATTATATCCCATTTGCCGATTCGATTCTGATTGATTTTGGAAGGGTGCGAAGACTGACAGCAGTTCTCGACCACTTGATCAGGACTTGCTGCTGGCGTCACCACGGGTCCTGTCCACTTGAGGCAGCAAGCCGCCTGCCCCAAAGCGGCCGCTATCGGTTTTACTTCTGCTGTTCGACATCGTGCCCGTGTCTTCCTCTTCCGTTTCGGGCGTCCACAAGACCAGGCTCTTGGCAGAAGTGGCCCTGGACTGAAGCCTGGAAGCTGGGGGCGCCTCCCGCGGCCCCTGGCGCCAGGGCACTGCTCGGGCCACTAACGGAAGGAGGGGACAGGGAAAGGGGGGGGGGTACGAAATCTGCTGCATGCAGCTGGTTTCGGCCCCGCAGCCGGGCCCATTCCTCGATAAATGAGCGCCTCCCGGCGCTGGGGAATTCAGCTACGTGGGCTGATGCTCTACTCTACCCTTTGCTATCCCCCCCTTTCGCTCCCCCCGAATTGTACACCGGGGCGCTGAAGATGCCAGCTGGAGAGAACGAGGGGCGGATGTGTTCATTTGGCCCATGGCTGCAGCTTTCTCGGGCTTGCCAGTGTCCTGTTCCATCAGAGTCCCCTTCTGCAGTGCCCTGAACTCGGACGGCGAGCCCGGGGGGAAGTGAGAAGGAGCGGGCCATCTCAGAAGGCTCGAATGGCTCGGAAGTCCCCCCATCCTTCTGAGAAGTTTTCTAAGCCTTCCCCGAACACACATCACACACATCTTTCCAGAAGGTGCGAGGGCTTCGGAGATGTACCGCCGCGTTCTGAGAATGCCTCCTCCGTCTCACTTCCCACCCTCCTCGCTCGCCGCCAGTCCGAACCTTCGGCCAGGACAACCCGTGCAGATTCCTGGCCGTCGTCCATCGTCGACCGCGGCCGTGCAGGGCTCAAGTCCGTCAGCTATAATCAGTTTGAACACCCACTGGCTATTTGCTAGCTGCCTAGCGTTTGAACACCCGACAAGCTTCCCCTCCGCGCACTGTGCGCCCATGGCGATGGAGTCCCTCGTTCCTAAGAGGCTCCTCCTCCTCCTCCTCGTCCTGCTCCTTGGCTTCCTCCTCCCTCCTCGTCTTTCTCGATATCATCGTCCTCCTTCTCTTCATTTTCCGCCTCTCGTGCTCCCACTTTCTCACCATGTTTGCAGTGGGGTGGGCTCCAAGTGCCAGGCTTGTAGCCTTCGTCTTTCTCCCAATCCCCCCCTTCTCTTCTTCCTACCCGCCTCCCACCCTGCCGCGCGACGCGCGCTCCTTCTCCTGCTCTCCTGACCTCCTTCCCCCTTCTCCTCCTCGCCCTCCCCGCCCTCCCCCTGCCTCTCCTCTTCCTCCCCCCTCCTCCTCCTCCTCCTCCTCCTCCTCCTGCTCCGTCCCCCTGTCGTCCTCCCCCGCAACCTCCCCCCTCCTCTTCCGCCCTCCTCCCCCCCTCTCCTCCTCGCCCTCCCTCCTCCTCCGCCTCCCCTCCCCCTCCTCCTCCGCCGCCCCCCTTCCCGCCCCCCGCGCCGCCTCCACCCCGCTCTCGCTCCCCCCCCAGCCCCAGCGGTCCCCGCCGCCGTGCCGCTTGTTCGCCGGCGCCGACCCCCCCCGAGGTCTCGAGTCCCCGGGACCCAGGGCTTCACCCCGAGCCGTTTTCGTGGACGGCCCCTTGGGCCCGGCGAGGGCCGCGGTCCGAGCATATACAGCTGTGCGCCGCCCGTCGTGCTCTGACTGCGACGGCGCGAGGGGGGTCGTTCTGGGCTCCCCTCCCCTCCCCTCCCAGACCCCCTCGCGTTGCGAGAAGACCGTGGCGGGAGAGTTTTCGCGCCATGTTCGGCCTCCGGGGGCCCTTGCCGGTCCTCGGTGCCGTCAGGAAACGGTGCAGGATGAAACGCCGGTCCCAGGGAAGGGGCCCAGACCTCTGAGGGTCGACGTTGCGAAAAAAAGTCACGGCGTCGGAGGCCTGGGCTCCTCTCCACCCCTCCCCATCTATAGATAAGGCCCGCGCCTTCTAAGAAGCAGGGGTGCTTCTAAGAAGCCCTCCCCCCTCCCCCCACCCCCCCTTCGCGTGGCTGGCACACCCCTCCTCGTGTGGCGCTCCCGAGAAGAGGCTCCTGGCGCTGTGCTCCTCCGGCCGCGCGCCCGTGGCCGGGGCCGCGGTGGTCTTCCTGGCCGCCCTCGTCCTGGCGGACTCCGACCAGTCGCCCGTGCGAGGGGAAAGCGCACCACGCCCCACGACGGGGGAAGCCAGAGGAGAACCAGGTATATGGATAGGTCAGGGCACTGCCGGGGCGGCTCCGGTGGCACCCAAGCAGCTCCCCTGGGAGCCCAGCGCTGGCCTCAGGGGAACAGTCCTTGACAGGAGCAGAAAAACTCGGAGGTCCGCGCGGATTTATCGGATTGGCGCTGGTGCCCCCCGGCGGTGCCTCCGGCGCCGCCCCTGGCGCGCTCCGCGCGCCAGGGAGGGGGGTCCAGCGGCGATCCGCGAAATCCGCGCGGACCTCCGAGTTTTTGTGTTTATGCCACTTTTTGTTCCCCTAATGGATGCGGCTACCCTTTCTCTTGTTTTCGCCCTTTTTGGGCCTCCTGGGAGGCCCTCGTCGCCACGGCTGGATTCGCGCCGAAATTCTGCTCAGAACGCAAACCGGGAAGGATCCTGGGAATCGCGGTATGCGTAGCGAGGAAAAGCGGGGGGGAAGGTTGTCCAGCGGGGTGGGGGCTCAGCAGGGTTAGCTGACGCGTGGTGTGTATATATACACATATATAGATGTATAAAGATTTGTATGTATACATACGTATGTTGATGGGCCGCGATACTTCCATCCATTCGACGTAGTACTCCCCAACCCTCTCGATCTTCTCTTGACCTCCTCCTATTATTCCTCCTCATTCTCTTCCGTTTCCAATTCAGGATGCTAATAATGTCAATTGAAGTTGATGACGATGTTGGCGACAACGATAATGGTATTGATACTGATGATGCTGCTGATGATGATGATGCTGATTATGATGATGGTGATGATGCTGCTGCTGATGATGACAATGCAGCTGTTTATGGTGATGATAATGATTTTGAACATGACGATTGCATTGATGCAGATAATGATGCTGATGATGCTGATATGATGCTGATGATGACGATGCTGATTATGCTGATTATGCTGATGATGATGGCGATGCTGATGAGGGTAATTATGATGATGGTGGTGGTGATGATAATGCTGATGGTGATGACGACGTCGAGGATGTTGATGAACATGTTGGTGATGATGACGATGACTATGCTGGCGACGACACTGATATGTGTGATGATGGTGGCTATGGTAATGCTGCTGATGCTGACGCGAATGGTGATGCTGATGCTGCTGATGATGATGCTGATGACGATGCTGCTGACGTTGATGGCGACGACGACGACATCGACGATGATGATGGTGATGATGCCGAAGCCGATGCTGATGCATGATGCTGCTGCGACGATGACACTGCTCCTGATCATATTGCTGCTGAGGATCATGATGCTGATGCTGCTGATGATGATGATGCTGCTGTTGATGTTGATGCTGATGATGATGATGCTGACGACGACGATGGTGATGATGATGATGATGATGATGATAATGATGGTGATGGTGATGCTGATTATGATGCTGATGTTGACGATGATGCTGAATACGATGCAGCTGCTGATGATGCTGCTGATGCTGCTGATGCTGATATGCTGCTGATGATGCTGCTGATGATGATGATGGTGATGACGATGATGCTGATGATGGTGCTGATGATGCTGCTGCTGCTGATGATGATGATGATGCCGATGATGATGATGATGATGATGATGATGATGATGATGATGATGATGATTATGACGATGATAATGCTGATGCTGATGATGATGATGATGATGATGCTGATGCTGATGCTGATGCTGATCATGATGCTGATGATGGTGATGATGATGATGCTGATGATGATGATGTCCATTATGTTTGTGGTGTTGATGGTGATGCTGGTGGTGTTGGTGAAGTGGTGATGATGATGATGATGATGATGATGATGATGCTGATGCTGATGCTGATGCTGATGCTGATGCTGATGCTGATGTTGACGATGATGCTGAATACGATGCAGCTGCTGATGATGCTGCTGATGCTGCTGATGCTGATATGCTGCTGATGATGCTGCTGATGATGATGATGGTGATGACGATGATGCTGATGATGGTGCTGATGATGCAGCTGCTGATGATGATGATGATGATGATGATGATGATGAGGATGATGATGATGATGATGATGATGCTGATGCTGATGCTGATGCTGATGCTGATGCTGATGATGATGATGATTATGATTATGATGATGCTGTGTTTGATGATGACGATGATGATGCTGATGCTGATGCTGATGATGATGATCATGATGATGATAATGATGATGACGATGATGATGATGCTGATGATGATGATGATGCTGATGCTGATGATGGTGCTGATGATGGTGGTGGTGATGATGATGATGATGATGATGATGATGATGATGATGATGATGATGATGATGATGATGTCCATTATGTTTGTGGTGATGATGGTGATGATGGTGGTGTTGGTGAAGTGGTGGTGATGATGATAAGGAGGAGGCAGAGGAGGGGGGCTGAAGGACGAGGAGAAGAAGAACGGGATGAGGCGGAGGAGGGGAAGGGAGACGGGGAGGAGGTCGGAGTCGCATTCGCAGTCGGAGTCGAAGGAAGAGTCGGAGGAGGAGGGGGAGGAGGAGAAGGAGGAGGAGGAGGCGGAGGAGGAGGAGGAGGAGGAGCAGGAGCAGCAGCAGCAGCAGCAGCAGCGGATGGGCCCCTTCTGTCCCGCGCGCTGCGCCCTCAGGCAGAGTGGCCTCCTCACCGCGGCGCTGATCGCCGCGGCTGGCCTCCTCGGCCTCTACAACGGGGGAGAGAAAAAGGTGCTGACTCGTCCCTACCTCCTACCCATCTCGTCCTCCTCCGTCCTCCTCCTTCTTCTCCTCCATCTCCTTCTCCTCCTCCTCCTCCGCCTCCTCTTCTCTTCTTTTTTTTGTGTGTGTATATGAAATCAATACCTGTAGCCAGCGCAATGGGAAGGGCCATGGCAGAGGTACTTACAACCCCAAAGTCCAGGAGGAGTGCTGCGAGGGCTTCATGGCTGAGCTGGCTAGGGTCGGCTACGACACCCGCCTCCTCTGCAGCATTCGGCGACGGGTCGTTCACTGGGGCACGGTCTGACGGCAGCATTACAGCCGCCAGCGCCAGACAGTTAGCAAAGGGCAGGGAGGCAAGCAGCACAGTGAGGCGACTGGGCCTGCAGGAGACCAGTCTCGATTGCGGGGGCTCTAGGTTGTTGGAGGCCCGGTGGACAGCGGGACGCTTGACGGGCACTCGTCGCCTCAGCACCCATGACGGTGCGTGGTCGCCCAATACAGGTGACCCGCGTGCATGTTCCACCAGTCTGCGCACCAGATAGGTGCCTACCTGGCTACGTTGATGACCGCGGTGTGCCTGGAAGCCCAGGAGGCTCCCGCACCTTTCTTCCACCAGTCTGCGCACCAGCTGGGGGCTTCCCGTGTTGCCTGGTCCCGCCGCCGGCGGTCGCCTCCCGCCCGCCCCGCGGCTCTGCCCCTCCACGGCAGTCGCCACTCTCGGCCCCCCCCGCCCCTCGCCTGGCGAGCAGCGCGCTGGCTGGGCCGTTTCCTGCTGGCGCTTATTCCCGCAGCCCCAGCACTTTACACGGGATCTCGCCCCCGTCTGCAGCTTGTGCTGCCCCGCTTGGGTTTTCACCGCCGTTGCGGCTCACTACTTCCTGTTGCCTCCCCGCCCCATGCCCTGCCCGTGCTACCTGGCACGCGGCACAGCCTCTTTGTGCGTGCGGGGTGCCACCATCTTCCCCTGCCCCCCCGGTGGCCGCCTTCCTCGGCGCCCCCTCGGACAGCCCCCGACGGGACCGTCCCTTTCCTCCCCCTCGTGGGCCCCACCCGTGCGTCACTTGCATTTGGCACCGCCTACTCCACAGCTGTGATGCCGTGCGCCGGCTTCGGGATGGCGTTCGTTTCTCCAGCAGTTGCCTTTGCCCCTGCACCATGCACCCGCGGCTTGCTGCCCAGCCGCCCAGCGGCTTCGCTTCTGGTCCGCCCGTTGCTCTCTGCCCAGGGCCGCTCTCGCAGCTGCTGCAACGCCGGGCGCGCCGCGCCCCTGGCCCGCCCCCGGTCCTCTCGCGGCTGCCTCCACCCCCCGCCGGGCGCCCCGGTTCTCTGGTCGCCCGCTGCTCCCCCTCCCCGCTTGCTGGGCTTCGCCCGCATTGCGGTTGCTGGCCCACCCCAGGGTGCCTCGCGATGTCGCCCCGCGACGGCTGCCAGGGGCTGCCCTTCAGCCCAGACGCCCCCGCCCGCTCGCCGCAGCCCTGCTGCGTGAGTGTTCCCCGCGTTCCCCGCGGCCGCCTCCATGCCTCCCACCCCTCCAGCATCAGGCGAATTCGGGATTCCGTGCCCGGGTCTCGCCCGGACGCGCGTGCGGATTGATGCTGCCGCGCGCTGCGACGACGCAGACATGTGAAATCAAAAAAGGGATTCGTGTCCTCCTCCTCTTCCTCCTCCTCCTCCTCCTTCTTCTGCTCCTCCTCCTCCTCCTCTTCCTCCTCTTCCTCCTCCCCCTCCTCCTCCTCCTCCTCCTGCCATTCCTCCTCCTCCTCCTCATCCTCCTCCTCGACCTCCTCCTCTCCTCCTCCTCCTCCTCCTCCTCTCCTACTCCCTCCTCCTCCTCCCTCCTCCTCCACCTCCTCCCCCCCCTCCCCCTCCCCCTCCACTCCTCCTCCACCTCCTCCCCTCCCCCCACCTTCTCTCCCATCCCTCCTCCTCTCCTCCCTTCCTCCTCCTCCTCCTCCTCCTTCCTCCTTCTCCTCCTCCTCCTCCTCCTCCTCCTCCTCCTCCTCCTCTCTCCTCCCCTCCTCCTCCTCCCTCCTTCCTCCGCCTTCTCCTCCTCCTCCTCCTGCTCCTCCTCCTCCTCCTCTACCTCGTCGTCCTCGTCCTTCCTCCCTCCCCCTTCTTGCTTCCTCCTAACTCCTGCCTCCTACCTCCTCCCTCCTCCCTCCCAGTGTACGTGGGGCGCTCCAGAAAGGGTCTCGGGTTCGGTGGTTCGAGAATGTGTCTTCGCTTCTTCGACCGAAGGCCCGCGGAAGTTGGCGGAAGTAAAGGCTGTCGGCGGCTCTTCCTGCGGAAGGCGGGCGGAAGCAGGCGGAGGCAAACAGCTCATTGATTTATTCAGGAGCCAGTAATTTCCGTTACGGAGGGTGGCCCCTCCCCGCCCCTCCCCCGCCCCGTAACGGCCGTAACGGGACCGAGCGTGCGCGGTGGGGGTGCCGTTCCACCCACAGGCATGGCGCGGTGTTCACTGAAGTGCTTTGGTGATGACATACGTGTCCTGGTGCTCACACGCATGCTGTGGCGCTCGCAGGCCCGACCTCCCTCCTGGTAGCAGTCGTTACGGGGGGGAATCAAACTATCCGGGCGAAGGACCCAACCACATGCAGCTGCCAGTATCGCAAGGCAGATGGGATAAAATGGGGGGCCACGACGCGTATGATGGGTGTGCCGTAATGGGTGGGGGGGCCCGCGTGCGAATGGTGTCGCTGGGACCTTGGGTGGAGCTTCCTATGGGGCCACGACACGAACCGTGTGTGGGGTGTACCGTAGTGGGCGGGGGAGGCGAATGCGAACGGTGGCACTGGTGCCTTGGGTGGAGTTCACGATAGGGGCCACGATCCGTGTAAAGGGTGCGCCTGAATGGCCAGGGGAGACGCATGTGAACGGAGGCACTGGTGCCTTGAGTGGAGCTCCCGGTAGGGGCCACGAGCCGCGTGAGGGGTGTTCCGTAATGGGCAGGGGAGACGCATGTGAACGGTGGGACCAGGGCCATTGGTGGAGCTTCCGATAGTGGCCACGAAACGTGTGAGGGGTGTGCCGCAATATGCGGGGGACAGTCACGTGAACGATGGCACCAGGGCCATGGTTGGAGCTTCTGATAGGGGCCACGAATCGTGTGACAGGTGCGCCGCAATGGGCGGCGGAGACGCGTGCGAACGGTGGCGCTGGGGTGTTGGGAGGATCTCCTCCTTGTGGGGCCACGGACCTTGTGACGGGCGTGCCGTAATGGATGGGAGACGCATGCGAACGGTGGCATTGGGACATTGGTTGAAGCTTCCTCGTGGTCCCGAGACATGTGAGGGGCGTGCCGGCATGCACATACGCAGGGCAGAGGCAAGGATGGAAGGAGGGATGCGGGGGACGAGGCATCAGGAGGAAGGAGGAGTGAGACGTGGGGCGCTGTCTCTTCGCAACGAGGACTCACGACCAGAGGATGGCTGGGGAAAACGATCTCGTGTCAACATGTTTCGATCCAGTGCTTCTAGAGCGAGCCGTACGTGTCGAGATTCACCTCCTTCTCCTCGACCTTTTTCTGGAAGTCAGATGAGGGGTGGGGGCCCTGTTGGCATACGCGCTTAGTTACGCGGTAGGGAGGGGCTCCCGAAAAGGTCAATGCAGGTGTGAACAAGGCGACCACGGCGAAGAAGGCGTTCCAGGCCGATCGGGGTGTGCGACACGGGTGGATAGCGTACGCAAGCGACGGCGACGCGTGCTTTCTTGCGGCGGGCCTTGATTTTGAAGGACATGCGCTTGATGGTGATGAGGGAGGGAGGTAGAAGGAGAGAAAGGGAGGGAGGGAGGGAGGAGGGAGGAGGGAGGAGGGAGGTGGGAGGGAGGGGAGGGAGGAGGGAGGGAGGAGGGAGGGAAGGGAGGGAGGAGGAGGAGGAGGAGGAGGCTCAGGAGGAGGTGGAGAGGGATGTCGAGGAGGTCCAGGGGTCCAGCATGCCACGGCAGCTGCTGGCGCGCCCGGCGAGGGCGGTCTGCGCTCCGCGCAGGTCTAGAGAACAGAGCCTGGCCCACGGGCCATGCCCCGAGACGGCCGCCACCGGCCGGCCCAGGCCTCGGGGTAGGGCCCCCCCACCGAGCCGAGTCCAACCGCGGCGGGGAGGTCGAGGAGGAGGGGGAGGAGGAGGAGGAGGAGGAGGGGGAGGAGGAGGAGGAGGTCGAGGAGGAGGACGATCAGGAGGAGGAGGAGGAGGAGGAGGAGGGGGGGGAGGAGGAGGAGGTCGAGGAGGAGGAGGAGGTCGAGGAGGAAGAGAGCGAGGAGGAGGAGATCGATGAGGAGGAGGAGGAGGAGGAGGAGGAGGAGGAGGAGGAGGAGGAGGAATGGCAGGAGGAGGAGCCCTCGCACTGCCGCCGACTCCCTGTGCTTAGCTTCCCTGGCACGCTCGTTTTGAAACGCAAGAGGTGCCGTGCTCAAGACGTCCGTGTTAACACGCTCCCTGTTGCCTGGGCACATTTTGGCCCACGTCTTGGCGAACGTATCGCGCAAGACCTGCGTTTCCAATCTGCGTGTTGAGCTCAGAAGAAGAAGAGGGTGTCTGGGCGCATCGTGACTATGAGGTAGCCCCAGTACTGGATGTCTACTCCATTGGATGTAAACGCTGGTCTGGCTTCAGCTGCAAGATCTCGAGGGCCAACCCACAGGCGGCCTGCATCATCACATCACGCTGGTTGAGAGAATCTGCTTGTCCAAGTGTCACCCAGCCACTCTTAGCAGTCACCTTTGGGACCGAAGTCCAGAAATTGGCAGGAGGCCCATACTTGTGAGATATTCATTTCTTGATCGAGAAAACTCTGGGCACTCAGCCCATACATGGCGAAATGAAGGCCAGTCCGCACGGCAAAAAGAACATGTGTTGCCATATTGCCTCCGCGCCTCTGAGGCCACACCACCAGAACTATACATGTATATATATATATATATATATATATATATATGCAGAGCAGCTTCCTTTCGGCCTTTGGAAACTTCTTCATGAACTTCTGACATACAAGACAAGATAAGATGTGCGGATCAATCTCTGGTATCACACCTGCATCTTGTCTGTCCTTGTTGGAAACATCGTACCCTAGCAATTGTGCGCAGTCCATGCTCGAGTCGGCCTCGATACCGTTCCTGGTGAGGGCGCCTCGTCCAGAACCGATAAGTGCCTGGCAGGAAACTCCAACGGACTGCATCCAGATCTCTATGATCAACGTCGGGCTGAGCTTCCAAATGACAACCCTGCTGTGGCGAACACCTCACACGACTTTGTCCAAACACTTCTGCATGTGCAGCCACTGAGCAAACTCTGACCAACTAAGTTCTCATGGACCGCCGTCGTCAGTGCATACAAAGCGCCTCCATACCGAGGATGCAGGTGTATTCTCTGAGCCCACCACCTGTGTCTACACCACCACTTCGACGAAGACCGAATCACGGCCTTGTGTAGTAGTGTCGCCACCTTCTCAGGAACCAGTGCCAGTACCGGTGAAGCCCAATACCACAACGGTCTGATGTAATTGACAGCCTATCTTTCTCTAGCATCTGCGCCTCCTGGAATGCTGTTCAAAGTCGCAACTGCTTGGAACACCTTCCCCCACCCCAATCGAGGCAAGATAGGATAATCATGATCAACAGGCCTACCTCGGAATCCCAAATGTTCCACAAGAGCTGGTGGATCATCTTCTCGGGTCCAGACTTGCCTCTTCGCCTGGTTCTTCACGAAGCCGCAATCCCTGTCGAAGGTTGCCGTCATGTCGAGGTCGTCCTGTAGTTGTTCTCTCGTAGCACCTGTGAGGCTCCTGTCATCCATGTACGCCTGTCCTCAGAACGGCCTCCACGGAGTACGAGTACATGCCATCGCTGCTGTCGCAATCGAGTCACCTTGTGGCAACCCACGTTGAGGAAGAACAGGAGCAGCATATTCACTACCCACACTTAGAGACCGAGATCCAGTCCGCGCTGCAAAGGCCGTGTACACCATCCTGTCAGGAGTACTTGTGGCCAACAACGCAGCTTCCCCAATTTCTTGATTGATGTTGTCGCAGGCACGAGACAAGTCCAGTTCCACACCTGCATCAGCTTGGGTACAGTCGGCAAGTCATTGAGAGATCGCATGTGCCACACTCACTCCCCGCTTCCCAGCCCATTGCGTATCACACGGTTGTGGTAAGGCCATCGGCGGAGCACTCAACCAACACCGCATCACAATTGAGCCTACTGAAGTCGGCCGCAGGTCCGACTCGTTCTCAGGTATGCTCACCACTCTCCATGGAAAGATCTGTGTTAACACGCTCGGGCTGCGTGTTGCGCATCGGGGTTGGCTGCGCCCCTGCGCCCTCGGCCCCCCGCCGCGCCCCTTCCTGGCATTTGCCTGGCGACGTTTTGATTCGCTCAGCGATCGAGGCCGCGTCAGGTGAAGTTCTGTGGTCGTGCTTCCTCCTTCTCCCCCCCCCTGGTCGGGCGACGAGAAGTGTGCACATGCACCGATACTGACCAGGCTCGTCCTGGGCCCAGGATCGGTGCAGATGCCTCCTTGGCCGAGCCAGAAAGGCGTATGCATCGATCTTGGGTCCAGGAATGCCGAGGCTGGGTTCACATCTCTTTCTGGGGCAAGCCTCTGGGCGAGCGAAGCGCCCGTGGCGGCAATCGCGCCCGCTCGCGCGTGCGGCAAGCCAGCCTGGCCCAACCAGATCTCGGACAAGCAGCCGAATGATGGATGAGGAGGAGGCGGAGGAGGAGGAGGAGGAGGAGGAGGAGGCGGAGGAGGAGGAGGAGAAGCAGAGACGGAGGAGGAGGAAGAGGAGGAGGAGAAGGAGGAGGAGGAGGGGGAGGAAGAGGAGGAAGAGGAGGCGGAGGCGGAGGAGGCGGGATGGAGGAGGGAGGGAGGGTGGGAGGGAGAGAGGAGGGAGGGAGGGAGGGAGGGATGATGAGAGGGAGGCAGGGGATGCAGGAGGAGGGAAGAGGGAGGGAGGAGGAGGGAGGCGTGAGGAGCGAGGAGGGAGGAGGGAGGCGGGAGGAGGGAGGAGTGAGGATTGGGGAGGAGGATGAGGAGGAGAGGGCAGGAGGAGGAGGAGGAGGAGGAGGAGGAGGAGGAGGAGGAGGCGGAGGCGGAGCGGAGGCGGAGGAGGAGAGGAGGAGGAGGAGGAGGAGGAGGAGGAGGAGGAGGAGGAGGAGGAGGAGGAGGAGGAGGAAGGAGGAGGAGGGAGGGGGAGGGGGAGGAGGAGGAGGAGGAGGAGGAGGAGGAGGAGGAGGGGGAGGAGGGGGAGGAAGAGGAGGAGGAGGAGGAGGAGGAGGAGGAGGAGGTGATGAGATGAGACCAATCGCATAGCGAAATCCATAGAACGGCCACCCTCTGAACTTGTCGGGGAACACGACGAACAAGAAGGAGGCGAACACGAACCAGTACGGGAACCCAAGTACAGAACGCAGAACTGCCCGAAGGACCCGTACACGAAGTAGTAAGACACCCTCCACTCTCCAACAGATTGGGCTGGTTACGCCTGCACGGCAGGAGCAAACCGCTCACGGAGAAGGTGTTCCATTTCATCCAGCCGCACACCCATGGCGAGGGCGGCAAGCTCGGTGCATACCGCGTCGAAGTCTACCTCGAAGTCGACGTCGGTAGTTCCGTTGAGCACGAAATTCTCACGGAGGTAGGCCCGCATCGCCGCAGGACGGCGCAACAACACCAGGTCGGCCATGTCACTGCAGAGCTCCCCATATATGTCTCGCGACTCGTCCACGCCGTGCGGGTTTGCGAATGATTCTATCTGCTCGCAGTCGTCGTCGAAGTGGTACTGCACTTCGGAGTCGGCGTCGAAAGACTGGGAGGCGTCGCTAGGAAAGAGAGCAACATCATCATCACCAGGAAAACCGGCGACGTCAGCTGGACTGTAGCTGACGGCATCAGGCTCGACATTTGACTCCTCCTTCCCAACTTCACGCACGCGCGTTTCACACACCAATTCACTCATTGCAGACCCAGCCGTGGCGACGAGGGAAGACGAGGAAACACAAGCAAATGGCTCCAACACCGCCGCCCGCTTCTCGCAAGCCTCGTGGGCTAGTGGGTCTGGCTCCAACTTCGCCTTATTGATCATATCTTCCACCTCGTCGTGATCCTGCGAAAATTGAAACACTCTATCACAATCAGAGTCGTCATCTGGTCTGTAGCTGACGGCATTGGGCTCGACCTTTGACTCCTCCTTCACATCTTCTCGCACGCACGTTGCACTGACCTTTTCGTACACAGCGGATCCAGCAGTGGCAACGAGGAGATACGAGAAACAACAAGCAAAGGGCTCCAACTTCACCACACGCTTCTCGCAAGCCTCGTGGGCTAGTGGGACAGGCTCCAACGTCGCCTCACTCTTCTCGCAAGCCTCGTGGGCTAGTGGTTCAGGCTCCAACTTCGCCTCCCACTTCTCGCACGCCTCGTGGGCTAGTAAGTCGGGCTCCAACGTCGCCTCACGCTTCTCGCAAGCCTCATGGGCTAGTGTGCTGGGCTCCAACTTCTCCTCGCGCCTCTCGCTTGAGTCAACCGCCACACTCAAACCTTCATGAAGCTGCCACTGCTTTCCCTTTTCACACTTCTCGCACGTCCTGATTGCGGCGCTGTAGGTGGTCACGTTTTGCTTTATAGTGTCGGGCTCCATCTTCGCCTCCCAC